TAAAATAAAAATTTGCTAAGTTGACTGATACCATTTCTGCTGAACCTTTCTCTTCTATTACAGCTCCGTGTTTTGGACAAATTAATGTCAGAGCGGCTTTCAGCAGAAAGAACAGAGTGCCTTCATCGTCTTCAGGAACATACAGAGGTAGAAAGAAATGAAGGAGAGAAACGTCAGGTAGAATAAGAAATATAGATATCATTGAGCAGATGTATAATGCTGCTGTGGAGAGTCAGGGTGTGACCACACAGCAGGAAAAATGTGAATGGGTCCCTTGTGATGTTGCACCTGAGGGGTTCAGTTTTCCAGGGTGTGACTACACAGCAGGAAAAATGTGGATGGGTCCATTGTGATGTTGCACCTGAGAGGTTCAGTTTTCTCAGGTTAATTTGCTTCAACCAGCCACACAGGAGTCAGCAGAGAGAGGGGAGGAAATTAGTCTTGTTTGCAGCTTGTTAACTGTTCGGATCCTCTCCTTTTCACAACTGGGTCCTGGGTCTGCTTTTATCTCCCTTCTGCTTGCTGTCCTAGAACTACAGCACTCAGCTGGGGTAGGGGAAAGAGCTAGGTGTTGAAGAGGAAATTTTAAGGTACCTCTGCTCTAACCATCCAGATTTGCAGGAAGTATAGTTAAAGCAGAGTTACCTTAAAATGTCCTTCTGTTTCTTTGCCAATTCCTCACTCTTTTTTCCTTTGGTCCATCAGCTACCTTAGCGTTAGGACAGCAAGCTTTTAAAAGAAAAAGAAACAGAAAGGAACAAGAAGGGAACAAGAAAGCACACCAAAACACAAGGTGTGGGGAGAGGATTCAAATAGTAGCCAGTTTCTCTGTTGCCCTTTCTCTCCCACTGCTATTGCAGTCTGCTGGAGTGGCTTTAAATACAGTGGCTTCAGTCCCCTTCACATTAGCTCAAATGATCACACTGCCTGAACTGATGCGAATGCATTCAGTTCCAAAGAAGTAGAAGTTCCAGTGGCAGAGAAAGAAACTACAGATTAGGGCATAAGAATTCCAGGCTGATTCACATAGCTTTTACATATAGTCAGTGGAAAATGATACGAATCAAACTATCCCAATCCTAGAACATTTTCTGCATTATTTGTCAATTTAATGACACCCTCAGTGTGGTGTATTGGTAGACTATCAGATTAAGAATAGTTCATATATCTCAAAAATTTATATTAAGGTTGCCAAAAGTCAGAAATGACTTGATGGGACATAACAAGAAGAGGGTGTGATATCTGAACAACTCCATTGTTTCCACAAATGAAACAATAGGACTTTGGAGAAGAAAATCCCTTGTTCTTCTTTGTGGCCTCTGTGAATGCACACTAATGGGTTAATCTGCGCCTGCATAGAGCAGCCTCGGAAGTCTTTCCAGAGCTCGAGCACAAGGTGCTGGGACCTCCCAGATGCTGCCTTTAACCCCGCCCCCGGCACCGGGTGCTTCAGTTCCTTTCTTGCCGCTGCTACAGCAGCATCTCGTAGGAACTTCCGTGTGTTTTCAATTTTCTTACCTTACCTACCATTTTTGACCTTCCTGGCTGCGTTTTGGACTGTTGACTACTCTTCTTCGCTGTGAGTTTGCCCAAAGAATTAAAATGGACTGTTACTTGTGTTGAACCAGTTGCTGGGCTTATGGCCGCTCCAGCCCTCTTTAAGAGGTGTGAGGTCTGTTCCAACAAGATCCCCCCTCTCTGATGGACATTTGCAGTGCTTATTTTGTCTCGGGGAAGAACACCAGCCGTCCCTGTGCAGGGTCTGTAAAGGCTTCACAAAACCGGCTTTGAAGTTGAGCCTCCAACGCCTCCACTCTTTCCTTTGGGAGAAGTCCCTCTCTCCAACTCAGGGAGGCTCCATCGATCCCCTGCAACCTGAGATAAAGCCTTCAATTGAGGGATTTCCTCCTGTTCCCAAGACTCTTAAGGGTGGTACGATGGCGGCCAAGTCTAAAACATCTTTGTCGGGCTTGAGGTTGACAACCATGGCATCGACGCTGAAGCCTCCCTTGGTATTGATACTAAAGAAAAAGAAGAAGGTTCCTAAGCCTGCACTGGTGGATACATTGGCACCAATGCCGGAGATGTCCCAGTGATTCGGTTTGCCTGAGCCTTCCGTCGGGGGATGAGGACAGGCTGTCACTGAGGCCGGAGGCCTTGCCATCCCTGTGTGTCAGTGATTTTCCTGACTGGGGGAACACCTCCATGGAGGTGGGGCAGTTGGCACAGGATAGCCTGCGAGCCTCTCTGGGCTCCACTGTATGGCCTTCCTCCAGTTTCACCCTGACAAGATGACCCTATACCCAGATTTCTCCTTCCTTCCCAAGGCGTTGTTTTACTTTCATTTAAGCCAGCCTACTGTGCTGTCTGCCTTTTTCCCAACACCTGCCTCACCACTAGAGAGAGCACTGAATTCTTTGGATGTTAAGCGGGCCCTCTCTTATTATGTTCATCTTATTATGTTCATCGCACTGCCACGTTCTGCACTTCGAAGAGACTCTTTGTTGCCTTCCATGGCCCCTCTAAAGGTGCACCGGTCACCACTCAGACCATCTCCAGATGGATTGTTTCGGCCATACGCCTTGCATGCCAGTTGGCTCAAGTACCGCTCCCAGACACAGTTAAGGCTCACTCAACAAGGGCTATGGCCTCTTCAATGGCATTTCTCAGAGGGATGAACCTCACGGACATCTGCAGAGCTGCCACATGGGCCACGCCATCTACCTTCGCGTGCCACTACCGCCTGGATGCCTGGGCCAAGGCTGAGGCTGCTGTGGGACGTGCTCTCCTAGCTTCAGTACTCTTGCGACGTCCCTCCTCTGGGTAAGTCAGCTTGCTAGTCACCCATTAGTCTGCATTCACAGAGAGCGCCCTTCCTCACCGCTGTCTGTCACGTAAGCCTTTTTCGTGTTGTGCAGCGGCAGATGGTTCTATGGAACTGAAGCACCTGGTCCTGGGGGTGGGATTAAGGGCAGCATGTGGGAGGTCCCAACAACATGTGATTGAGCTCTGGAAAGCTCTGAGGCTGCTCAGTGCAGGCACAGATTAACCCATTAGCGTGAATTCACAGTGAAGCACCCAGTGCTGGGACCTCCCACACCGCTGCCCTTAACCCCACCCCCGGCACCAGGTGCTTGAGTTCCATAGAACCGTCTGCCGCTGCACAGCACGCAAATGGCTCTATCTCAGTATTTTCTCTGATTTATATACTAATTATAGACTATCCTGTGATAGTAACAAATTGCTACAAATCATGATACAGTAGTTTTCTTCCATGCTACGTTCAGCTTTGATGAGTAAGGGAAGAATTCATTTCAATTACTTTGGTTTGTAAGGAAAGCGTTCTTTCTAATGATAGAGTTCTAGGTGGAAGTAAGATCTACTGAATTCAGTGGAATATTCTTTTGACTAAATACATTTAGATGAGGCTGCAGGAGTTTCTGATGTGCATTTAGCAGCTGGGAACTAAGACAAATTTCATTTGATGCCCTCTGATCTTGGCGTGGCTTTTTCTTGCAGATGTCTTTAGCTGGAGAATTGAAGGCTTGGTGCATGTTAAAAATACAGAATCTGGAGCTGAAGCTTTCTGGAGATTCTAGATCATCACGACCAAAGTCAATTCTATCCACATGTGAATCTCTCACTGAGACTTTGGATACAGAGAACCTTCCTAGTACAAAGGACTGTAAAACTAGCCAAACTCCACTGCAGTCAGAGAGTTCACAGCAGCACTCTTGTCTTGCTCTTCTGAACAGCGTCTCTGAAGACATTGGCAGAAGTAGACTAGCAACCACAGAACAGAGTTTTGGAAAGCAATATTTTGCTGTTCAGCAAGCCAGCACATCAGGTACTCTTATTTTCTTCTTTTAGCCATTTCTGATTGGGTTGCTATTTTAGTTTGTTCTATGGCACAGTGTTTCAAACCAAAAAAATCTTAGCTAAATGCTAGCTGTACATTTTTCTTTTTGATCATAGGCATTTTGTCCATCCTTCCCCCCTCCTCCACATCCAAAAGTTGATCAGAGAGTTATTGAATCCATGCTTGGCTCAAGAAAGTAATTTCAGACACGCATAAGCATTCTTTTCAAGAAAAGGCAGTGTTGGAGAGAGTTGAGAGAATGAGCTGTTGAAAAGATGGGTAAACTCTCATTGGTTTGGCATAGTTTCCTCTCTCCTATCAGCTCACTGCACTCAGCTTTGCTCCCCCCTTACATTTCATATGCATGGAACTGATGACATAGATGGTGGGGCTATGCTCACAATCCCAAATGGCCCATAGGAAAATCCACTCCCTACCCCAAACCACTCCTTGTTTAGTCTGCAGGGTTTGATAAGCCTCCAAACACTCTCAGAAGCTGGCGATTCTACCCCCCTGGCCCCGTGGGGGGGTGGGGGAGCGTGGCAAGGGTCCAAGGGAGCCTCCCAGGACCCTTGCCAGGCTCCCCCATCCCCCCACGGGGACAGCGGGGGCAAAATCGGGAGCTTCCAGGACCTTTTCTGAGCCTGGAAAGGCTCAGAAAAGATCCTGGAAGCTGCCTATTTTGCCCCCTCTGTCGCCCGGGGGAGGCAGGGTGGGTCT